CCCCAAAACCCCAAAACCCCGTGATGATAATTTAAAACCAAACATAAAAAATCAATTAAGAAATTGCATCATAGTTATAAATAAGTCGTAGTTAGGCTCTACTAATATACCTTTTCGACAAATTACATATTTCATTTATTTAGTACTTAATCTAGAATAAATTTTATAATAAATCATCACAACATTTATTCAATAATGTCAGAACAAGAGCTACATCTCATCAATCATGATAAAAGCAAACCAATCAAGGAATTGTATAAGGAAAATACAGAGTACAAATCAATATATGATACAGAAAGTCCCTCAAAGATGACTCCTTAAGTACAAGTTAAAAGAGAAATTCCAGTTGCCAAGAAAGTTTACTACATCGAATCAATTTTTTCAGCAATGCTATGGGGTATAGCTAATTTTTTCTATAGTCTCCTTGATGATACTGATTTTGCGACATCATGCTTGACCTTCCCAGGTTTTCTCTTTATTTGCCTGGGTTATAAAATACTCCAGATAAAGGAGTAATAATCAATAACAAAGAAAGTAATTTACGATTCGTTCTTTGGTAAATACTATGATGATTCAGGCACCAAACTGAACCTTTTAAATATATTTCACATGATGCTGAGATCTGCAATGTTTTTCGGACTCTCTTGGCTAGTCATTCTAGCATCAGGTTATGCTTCACAAGCTTAGATCAATTTCGGTATCATTACTAGCTGCATTAGTTTTAGCATAGTCTTAAGCGCCATTTTCAGCTACATTTTTTATAATGAAGCTCTGAACAAAATTCAGATTGTTGGCATCGCCATTATTATCTTAGGTATTGTAGGTATATCATTCGCCAAAGGAAATAAAAGTTTAGGAGAAGTTGATAATGGATTTACAGAAGATGAGAAAAGTTATTACAAAATAGTCTCGATTTTGCTTGCTTTATTTTGTGGAGTGGTCAATTTCCTTAGAACTTTTCAAGCCAAATACATCTACAGAAAAACTGGCTATTAGCCAGTCGACTTATCAGTTGATTGTGGTCTCTTTTTAGGTTTATTTACTATGGTATGCAGTATCTATTATTGGGCCACAGGTTGCAATACTTATACTTGGTACAATTTTGGTATCAATACGATTGGAAGCATTATAATGATGATTTTCAGCATCATTGCATTGAAATGCATTGTTAAAGGCTTAGCAGGTCCAACGGGTGCTATTATGTATACATGCCCTATCTATACTTCCATATTGACAGCAATTTTCCTTAAATAGATCCCATCACTTTATCAAATAATGGCAAGTATTCTAGCTATTTCAGGTGTTGGAGTAATTCTTTTAGGCAACAAGAATTGACTAAAAGATTGTGTCATCAACAATCAAATTACCATCAAATATGCAGCATCAAATCAATTTAATTTATAAACTTCATTAATATTTATTTATTATCTCAGCAAGTTTGATACAATGGGGTTTTGGGGTTTTGGGG